AAGAGTGCCCCACAAGAGTGTCCTACAAGAGTGTCCCACAAGAGTGTCCTACAAGATTGTCCCACAACAGTATCCCACCAGAGTGTCTCACAAGAGTGTCCCTTAAGAGTGTCCTACAGGAGTATCCCACAAGAGTGTCCTACAAGAGTGTCCCATAAGAGTGTCCCACAAGAGTGTCCCACAAGAGTGTCTTACAAGAGTGTCCCACAAAAGTGTCCTACAAGAGTGTCCCACAAGAGTTTCCTACAAGAGTGTCCTACAAGAGTGTCCTACAAGAGTGTCCTACAAGAGTGTCCTAGAAGAAAGTCCCACAAGAGTGTCCTACAAGAGTGTCATTTGGACATATTAATTTTTCGAACGTGTTTGCATTCGGGTTCGTGGGTTCCATCTTGTTTCCACCTTGGGCCCTTGGGTTCCAACTTGGTGACATCAAGCAGCCATATGGGTGTGGGTCAGAACGCAACCATCAACCATGGTAGCTTGACCTTGCTGAACATAGTGAACGTTGTTTCGATGTTTGATGCGAGATCAAACAGGGTTATAGATGGTTCCACCTTATTTTTTGAACCCCCAGCCATGTCTTCGATGTGAAGATGTCTATTGTTCTCTTCAGATCTGTGACTCATCACACCCATATGAAGATGTCCCAGATGGTCCCACCTTTGTTAGAGAATTGGTCAGAATGGTCAACTTTTTGTTGGGGAAAGGTCTTCACTAGCCGTCATCCCACAGGAGATACCCAAGGTCTCAAAAATGCAGACCCCCCCAACATAATATATATATATATATATATTTACCAGGCTACCGCCTGCAGCCGCCGACCCCCAAGGGGAAAAGGTAGTGGCAGGGTCGTCCCAGGGACTAGCCTGAGGTGAGGCGTGACTGTCGATGTTAGCCTGAGCCTTAAGCCTTAGCCTTAGCCTTAGCCGTAGCCTAGCCTGAGCGGTAGACTTAGCCTTAGCCTTAGACTTAGACCTTACCTCCCGATTGTCCAAGATTTTGCCATCCCAATTGTACTCATGCCTTTCATGCGCTGAACGAGGTCCGGCCAGTGCCCGTGGTAACGTGAAAGGCTCTGGTAAGATTTTCGCATGCCTGTCAGGCGCCCGTGTCCGCGCCATGTGGCGTGTTGGTTCTAGGACGGAGCAGCGCAAACGGAAGCTCGGGCAGGTGGTGGCGAGGTTCTCGCGCCAGCGAGGGAAGAGACCGTAGCCATGTACTGCGGCCCATGACGCCAGGAGCGCTGTCCCGGCCAGGTGCGTTCCACCGGCGAGTAGGCATGAGTACAACAATGGAATAAAATAGGTTTGCAATAGGTTAACCAATTTTTAGGGAAATCTGGGAACCTAAAAACAGGCGGAAATGTTAGAAAATGCTTGGAAAAGCATCCAGCCGAAAACGTAACAAAATCTAGACAAAGCCTAGAGCATTCCTAGGAAAATGCTGGAAAAGCCTTCGAAAATCCCACAAATCCAACAGAAAACGTGACAAAATCTAGGAAAAAGCAAGGGCATTGGCTGGTGACCACGCCGCGACCAGCCCGGACACTGGCATAAAATAGGTTAGCAAAAGGTTAACAATTTTTGGGGGAAATCTGGGAACCTAAAAACAAGAGGAAATGCTAGAAAATTTTTGGAAAAGCATCCAGCCAAAAACGTAACAAAATCTAGACAAAGCCTAGAGCATTCCCAGGAAAATGCTGGAAAAGCCTTCGAAAATCCCACAAATCCAACAGAAAACGTAACAAAATCTAGGAAAAAGCAAGGGCATTGGCCGGGTCCACGCCGCGACCAGCCCGGGATTCGAGCCCGGGACCATTTTGGACCGTGCTTATTTTCCCGCGCGGGTAGAGAGGGTGCCCCAAGATGTAAATCAATTGGGATGGCAGAATCTTGGACAATCCAGGGGACAATCACGTCGCACTTTCGTCACTGCAACAAGGGTCCGGAGGGGTAGGGGAGGTATGGTCTAAGTCTAAGTCTAAGGCTATGGTCTAAGGCTAAGTCTAAGGCTAAGGCTAAGGCTTCGGCTTAAGGATAGGGCTAACATCGACAGTCACGCCTCACCCCACGGTGTGGGGTCGGCGGATATATGGAAAATGTAGATCCTCACTAAACATGTATTGGACGCCGTTTCTATCTATATGGCGATCACTATAGTTCTCAAGTTCTTCACTCACTTGGCAGATTCACTTGATGGCAGTCTCTGAGGCCTGAGGTCCAGTCAGGAGCTTGTCTTTGAGGCCCTGATGGGGAAGACATGAACGACTGAAACATGGCCTTTCTTGAGAAGTGAGTATGAGTTGATGAGGGAAGGTCATGAGTCATGATGGTTATATAATTACTATGATTTAGTGTGGTTCTGTTCGGATCCAAGGGTCAGAAAGCCATATTTGCAGTATGTGTATGTGTGGTCAATGTTCTTGTAGCAGAATTCATCACGTGTTCTTTTTCTCGATCATGGAAGACTATACCGAAGATGTGTCGGTCCACTTGTCCATTTGGCCCGATTCGGTCCCAGAGTGAAGCATATCCGTAAGACCCGTATGACGGATGACATGAAAGACCTGAAGAAATGTAGTTCAACATTAAGACCTGAAGAAAGACCCTGAAGCTCACACCGAAGTTCCACACGCTCCAAGCGCTCCAAGTTCCAGTCCTGGGCAGAGCCTGTCGCTGCGAAGCGATCC